AACCCGCCGCGTACCATAAGAACGCCGAAGGTCTCCTTTCGCGTTCCTCAGAAACGCCCCGGGACGTGACAAAACGTCGGCATGTTACGCCTCGGGAGTGAGAACGGGCTGGATTAATCACAAAGTGGTTTGGTCGTAAGCATCATCGATTAACAACAAAGGCCAGATGTGCTCCCTGCGGTTTAATTAGTGAGTCGAGCCTGTTGGAGTCTGACAGGCTCGGTGACCCTGGAGCTGCTACACGGCAGATTATTAACTTTGTTTAAATTTCAAATCACAGTCACTGAAATATTCAGATCATCATTCAGATCATTACGTAGCTGCCTCTGGGCCCACGGACACAGAAAGACCTGAATCAGCACATGGATGAAACTTCTGCCTTTAGCCCATTTTTTTATTTCATGCTGAACATTTTCTTGTCTTCCCACCAATGACACGTCTGTTAGCGGCAACACAGACACGGAGCCTCTTCGAGGCCCTTTAATAATATTTAGTTGATGTTTAGATGCAGCTGGGAGGCCCGACAGGAGCTCACCACAGGAGATAAGATTTAGTTTCAGTCTGATTAGAAAATTGGTTTGTTTTTGTCTATTATTTAGCAGCTAAATGCCATTATCTGCACTGCTTATCTGATACCTGCTTTGCTTATCGCGTGGACGTGAATCCAAAAGCGTCCCGAGGCAGAGACTCGGTGCTATTTGGGATTTTCCAGGTTCCAGATGTGTCTGTCCTGCGTCACAGGCAGACGGCCGCCACGGCTCTAGGACTGAGCCACAGCCAGAGTGTTGACATACCCGTGCGGACACATGTCGTTCTCGGACACGCAGTGGGAGAACTGGGCCGGGTTGCTGCCGCCAGCCAGCCTGCGGACCCCCCGGAACGCCACACACTGCTCCAGCAGCTCCAGCAGCTTACAGGCCAAGAAGAAGATGTTTTTGAACATGAACACGGACACCGGCATCTTGTAGATGTAGACCTGGAAACACCTGACCACCAGCAGGGGCGCGTTAACCACCAGGCCCGTGGAGAAACGGGCCCAAAGCCACCTGCAGCGCAGCTCGGACGCCGTGAGCTCGTACAGCCAGACCACCGGCACGGCCAGCGCCACAAAGTACACCGAGATCACGGTGTACTTGAGATAAAGCGTGGGGATCTCGTTCCGTAGCAGCATCTCCACAAGCGTGAAGCTGTCCAGCAGGTCCAGGCAGGTGCCCATGAAGCAGCTCTGGGAGTGGTGCCGCGTGGAGCCGTTCAGGTCCTCGATGATGGAGTTGATGAGGCAGAAGAGCAGCGGCGCAGACAGCAGCATGACGATTTTGAAGCCGGTCGCTCCGAACGGGACCTTTAACGTGATCAGCTCCAGGATGGAGGTCTCCAGGATGAGCACCACCTTAGGGGTGCAGGCGATGACGTAGATGAGCCATGCGAGGTAGGCGTAGGTGAACTCTCCGAGGTTGCAGCCGAAAATGGAGCTTTTCTGGTGAAAGCCGCAGGCCCGCTCCCGCTTACTCCGCGCGTTCTTCATGAAGAAAATCCCCCAGCCCGAGATCACCACGAGGTCCGTGGCTATCCACGAGCACCAGTACAGGTCCGTGAAGATGATGAGGTAGAAATCCAGAACGCCGCCCTGGAAGATGAGGAGGAGGAAGCACAGCGCCTTGTACAGCATGCTCCTCTTGGATTTGTGCGCCAGCAGGGGAGCGGTCTGCACGAACTCCCCTGATGTCATGATGCTGGCGGCGGCTGCGGATGAGGTGACCAGGGCCTGGATGCTGCCGCTGTCCTCCGGGATGATGCTGCCGCTGGTGGTCTGGGTGTCGCGCCTCCTGCTTAGCTGGCCGTCTTCGGAGGAAAATGAGATGGGAGAGTTGGGGCAATCGCTCGCTTCGGCTGGGAAATAATCGGCCTTCGGATTGTCTTTTGCAGTTTCAGTGACCATTGTATTTGCGCTGTCGCCTCCCTCTCAGCTGTTTTCTTCCCTCTAGCTGCTTTAAAGGTGGAGAGAACCAGCCAGGCGCAAAGAAAGGCACGGACTCGTGGAACGGATTCCACCTCGCTCTGCTTTTGCGCTCTTTTCCATTCGTTTCTCACATTTTCACGTCTAAGAATGTAAAAATAGTGGTTTGCTGTTGAAAAGGCTTTGATTGCGGTGTAGTTGCTGTTAGTTTGGGTTTATTAGATCATGTGCTGCCGTTGGGTCAGATCAGGCTTCAATGTTCGCCCGAGCACGGTCCCCTCTCCATCAGGTGCACGCGCGTAAGAGCAAAACTGAAAATGATCCTTTTTAAAGACCAGAGACCTCTTTAATCCGAATGGACGATTTCAGGTCACACCTGCATTTTGGAGCATTAACAAACAGACACATTCCGGTGTTGTGCCAAAAACTGATTTCCGGTGTTCTGACAAACCATCCTACTTTGGCAAAACGTCCTACCATAAGTAGTTTATGCACATTTCTGCTGTCACAGAGTAATTCCAGCACCAATTTAAGTAGGTATGACGGTTTGCCGCTTAACTTTAAGTGGCATTAGAGTATGTTTGTAGCTCATATGCATACAGCCAGGATGGTTTGCCACTTCATTTTACCCGTTAAAGTATGCTTGTAGGTAACATTCACAAAGGGAGCATGGTTTGGAACTTAATTTTACCGTCAGAGTATGTGTGTAGCTGACATTAACAAAGGTAGAATGATTTGCCACTGAATTTCATCTATTAAAGTACGCTTCTAGCTCAGATTAACAAAAGTAGGACGATTTGTCACAAAATGTTAGCAGTTTAAGTATGCCTGTAGGTGACATTCACAAGGGTAGGTTGGTTTGGCAGTTAATTTTACCAGTCAGAGTATTTTTCTAGCTAATATTCACAAAGGTAGGACAATTTGCCACTGAATTTTGTGTTGTGCGCATGCGCAGAAACAACGGGTAGGATGGATTCCCAGAACACCGGTATTTGCCAAAAGCTGATTGCTCGTATTTAAACTGCTATAAGTAACTTGTTGGGCTATAATATGTTAAACATATGTCAAATGCATCCCTTATGGGTGACATAAAGTCATCTTGAGCCACAAACAACATTCGTGTAACAAGCTAGAAGGGACAATCAGTTTTTGGCAGTGACTTTTATATAACCTTTATTTATGCAGTTAAAAAAAAAAATCTCATTAACATTAAAAATGTCTTTTGTAAGAGTAAGTTGGCCAAGAGGAGAAGAAATGGCAGCAAATATTACGATAGTTCAGTAAAAATATTTTTAGTGGGGATAAAGGAGCGGATTGGTTATAATGTAAGTACAATAACACAGAGTTGTAAAGATACTTGAAAAACAGATAATTTTTTAATTCTATAT